TCAATTTTGCTCCATTGTGCGCACGTCCGACAACGTCACACAAATATTTCAATAATATATTTCTTCTAAATAGAGACGAGACCTAGCAGATTCCATCTGGAGCGAAATAAATATTGAATTGCGGCTTTCTCGAAGATCGAGACGTGCGATTTATTTTTATTAAATGCTTGTGGAGAATTGAACGCCTCGCTTGGCACCGTGTGCCTGGGAGGGGCTTTGATACTGCGCCGCATCGTTTTATACGCAAGCGTCATTGTACCAATAAGAATCATCAAGAGCTGCATTATTGCCGCATCAAACTCCGCCTCTGGTGATTGCAATGGGAAGCAGCACAGATTTAACTCGAGCGTTTGAAGCGCCGACTTGAATGCGAATAATTTAATCATAAAAAAATTATCAAAATACGACTATAAATTTATCTGTAAAATTCAATGAAGGGCGATCCAAAAGTCTAATCTGGCCGGATATGCATTGATTTTTGAGCTAACAATTTCATTTTTAAAATGCTAAATTGACACATTCTTTTAAAATTTTCAATTTCCCAGCAGCAAATGAATTTATTTCTTATTAGGAACTTATTGTTCTCTAGAATGGTCATCAAATCGGGCCAGATGCTCACGGTTACACTCCTTTACACGTTATATACTGTGCATCTCCCATTCATCCCGGAGCGTGCACGTTTTTCTTTTTTTCTGAGAGAGCAGCGGGCGAGAATTCATCATGAACATACAAATAATCGTCCGGTTTGCGCTACGCCATAAATTGTTGAGCGCGAGGAGTCCCGCGTTGCCGAATGACATTAAAACACCCCGACCTTTTAATACCGGTATAAATAATAAATCCAATTAATCAACTTGACAGCCGGCCGGGAAATAAGGCACGCAATCTCGTGGGCGGCTTTAAATGCATCGCGTGGGCCGCAAATTATTTCTCTCTTGGACGTGCCGAGTTTCTCAAAAACAAATTATCAAAACATGCATGCAGAGAGAGACGAGGAATTCCGTTACTCCGGTTATTAGCACCCCCAGCTACCCCCGTTAGAGAGCTGGCCGGTCGGTCGACCGGCCGGCTTCCTGTCTATATAATGCATATCCAAATGAATTCGCCGCTCTTTTGCTCCTGAGCTCTGTCACTCGAAGATAAATCACCCCCTCGAAAACAAACATGTGAGCTCCAGACGCTCTCTCTTTCTCGATGCGCTTAGGGTGGCTTATTTTTATTGTAGCGCCTTTTCGCCAGCAGCATCTGGGACAAAAAATAATAATGCACCCCCGTCGCCACCCACCCCTCGCGGCAGATCAAATTGATTTCTCGGGGCGCCGACGAGAGAAAGAAAAAACGCCTCGGCTGCTCTTCTCGTTACATAAACATGCGCAGCGCACAGGATGACGGGCGAGGTTTTTTTCGTTTGCTTTACTTATGGAGAAGACAAGATTGAAATTTGAATTACACTGATAAGTGCCGGAGGAGCGTGTTCCCATAATTGAAATCAATATCTCATGCCTAATCCACATCAATAAATTCCTGTTTGGTCGCGCATTATTTATAGAGGCCGGGCGGGGAACTTTTTGTAATTGAATGTGCTAGAAAATCAAACCATGGCGGATTTTTTTGACACAATTTAACTTTCAATTATTCATAATAAATAAGCAGTATAATTCTCATGAAAATCATGGATTAAAGATTAAAAAATTCAAATTTAGTTTGATTTTATGATTTTCACATAATCCAGAATATATATGTAACATTATTTAAAACCAATTAATATTAAAAAAAAATCATAGAAAGAGATTAATTATGATTCCTTAAAAACAAATAAAAACTAATGATGATAAAAGATTAATAAATTATAAAATAATTAATTTTTATCGTAAAAACAAAGTAAATTTCATCTAAATATCTTAAATAAAATTTATAAATGATACTTTATAAAAATTAATAAGCTGTTTTAATTTTCACTATAATGCTATACAAAATTTAAAACAGAGAGGGGCTTCTGATTATTTGACACAAGTGTTGCAGGTCTCTAATTCCAAAATATGATCGAGAGTGAAGAAAATGATGTCATCTCACAATCCATCGAATCCATCTATCGCACTCAAGAGCTGAGAGTGACGAACAATATACATTCTTTCCGTCGCGTTATCAAGCGCCGCGAGAAATCATCGTCTCTCTCTCTTTTTCGTTTCACGATTGAATAAATAAAACAATGGGCCCATCTATTATTATTGCTTTTATATTCCGCACTCTCTCACCGGCGGGTCTCGATCGGCATTAATATTGGGCCAAAATTTGCAGCGTCATTGGATTGTCGAGACTTTATCGGGATGAGAGCGAACCTCCCGTGGCGGATCACCGAGAAGTGAAAGAAAGAGACGCGCGGGAATCGAAAAAATAAACAAGCTGCTTAACCAACAAATTATTAAAGTAAAGTGCTAGAAAAATATTTGTTTTTAAATTCTATGCCAATAATAAAATAAAAAATAGTGCACGAAATATATCAATTAATTCAAATAGGACTAGTTTAAAATTTACGAACAGAAATTTAATGGTCTGAGGATTTTTTTTTTAATTTGTCAAATTTATATATTGGGTGCGTTTTTTGTGCGTATCTCGCATGTGTTGGTGAAACGCATGTTGCGGTAGGTCTGGAATATTATTTTTCCTCTCTCACAGCATCTTCCTTCTCTTTTCCTTCTTCCAAGATCTGGAGCAGGACCTTCCTCAAACGTAAACAAAATCGGCTCTTTTCTTGCACATGCACGCTCCCCCTTTACGAATGTAAATAAAGGGCCATTTTCAAATTCCATCATCATCAGAGAAGCTGCAGCTTTATTAATGATCGCCGGGGCGTAACCCTAAAAATACACAACTGCGCACCCCCGAGCAGCCTCTCTAACTTCCACCCCGAATCTATATAATTAAAAGCGCGGTCTATTTTGGGCTCCTTTTCGGAGGGGTGCGATTATTAATTGAGTTCTGTTTCGGCTTAAACAGCGTTAAATGGCGTCTCTCGGAAAACATTCGATAAAACCGAGCGCAGCTTCTTCTTCTTTCAACGCCCTCTCGAAACAAAGTTGCAGTTTTAATGTGAAACTCCAGCTCTTTCAAAACCCTTCCTCCCTTCATAAACCTTTCAAGCAGCGCGAAAAGAGACGCGCGCTCGATACATAACTCAGCCTAATTGAAATCAGGCTTGTACGTAGTATGAGTATAGAACTGGCCCGGGGAAGTCGCGGGCGAAAAATAGCTTTCGCCAGCCTTGAAAGAGCGCGAGATGCAATTGAATGGCAAGCAGCTGGAGCCGAAATGATTTCAACTGCGTTTTAATTTAAAATATCGAGAATGAGGAATTCCCAAAAAAAAAGGAGGCTACAAATGCAGTAAAAAGGATATTAAATAGAGCTGCTTCCAAGCTTTTCATTCGGCGTGATCTAATAAAAACTTTTATTGCGTCACATATTTTTATCAGATTAAAATAAAATTTTTGAGCGAACTTAAAAATTGAAGAAATTTCTTTTGGAAAACCCGTTCTAACGATTTTATAAATTTGTGTATTTCAAGAAACAAAATAATATTTTGTTACCTCTTCTACCTTGAAAAAATGCTAATTAAGTTTGATTAGTTTAAGTACAGACTGATGTAACGTGCTGCAATTTCACGCTGATTGGATTGGAAACTTGATTGGCATCAAATTAATTTGAATAAAAAATCCAAGTGCCGGATGTAATCACTAGGCCGACGTACACGCGAATCCATTCGTCAATCAAGGCCGCCACAGAACATTTTGTATATAATTGGGAATTCGCACTACTGGCGCATGTACGTGTACATCCACGGCAGCACGTCTCATTTCTTGAGCAGCAGCACCGAGTAATGATTATCATTATTATCCGCAAGAATAAGAAGAATCGCGCCACTTGCGTGACCGCGCAAATATGGCGCGGGTAAAATTATATTCTGTACAAATATAATTTGTATCTCGGGCTGTGTGTCTGCGCGTCGTTTCTCGCTCATTAGACCGGTAAAAATATGTTCGAGTCCCCTTTCGATCCCTCCTGACTTCTGCAGCGGAGAGTGAAGAATTAATTCGGTCGTGATGTTTGAAGTTTGCTTTTTAATAATGATATCATTGGGACGCTAATAAAGGGCCTCTTCTGTGTCTTGCGAGCTTATTAAAAGATATGATTCGCCACATTTTGGCGGCGACCTCCCGACCTCCGATCAATCGACAGGGCCCGTTACCTGCCGTATATTTTAAATCGAAATCAAACCGCCGGACTATTTTCGGAGTGCTGCCTCGGAAAACCCGCGAGTGCTTATCGGTGTAAACGTGGGAATTTTCATTAAATGTGTACATGCAGTTGATATATTTAATTAGGTGTGTGGGTTTATACCCACGATTATTTGTAAAACAAGACTACTTAATGCATTTATTCTGGTTTCACTTTTTATCAATGGGACGTCCCAAGGGTTTCCCCAAAATGAGACTTTGAATGAATAATTAAGTATGCCTTAGGCGCTGACATTAATAAATGTTATCAGTTTGATATGTCATTGTATTTAATTTTAATCAAGAGATTTGTTAAAGCACACCTTTCATTTATTTGAATTATTGCCAACAAATTCTCCCCTTTTTAAGAATAAATCTGTATATTTGATGCATGAATAAATTTTACATTTCAAAATATCCTCAGTTGAAGAAGTCTCTTTTTCAATAGCACGAGACAAAAAGTTTTATAGTCTCTATGCAATTTCCAATTTTAGAAGAAAAAAAATTCAAGATAATATGATATTAAAAAGAAAATTCAAACAATAAGATCTCATTTTTTCAATTTCTAGAATATTATCATTAGATCAAAATTTCTCTAGCTAGTTAAGGTTAAATTAGAATAATTCGATATTTTAATTTTCAAGCGATATGTGATTTCTGAAACAATAAAAAAATTGAAATGCAACCGGAAGCTCGAGCGAAAATTTCTATGAGGAGCTCTACTTGCCTGACGCACCTGTTTGAACTGCTCCTCGAAGCTCCAGGTCTGCTGGGAGGAGGACGACGACTCGGATGAGTGCGAAGAGGCCGACGAAATTGAGTTCTGCAGGGCCGAGGTCGGAAAGGCGGCCGCGGCCGCCGCGAGAGCGTGGTGCTGACTGAGGGGCGGTGGGGCCCCGCCAGGGTGCGAGAACATGGGCACCGGGGGCGGCACCATGGAAGCGGCCAACGAGAGCATGGGGTCGCGCGGCCCCTGCGAGAGGCCCGGGGGCGGCGACCCACCCTGTTGGGCGGCGGCCGCCGCCGCGGCCGCGGCGATTTGCTCCAGGTGTTGACGCTGCATTTCGCGCATCTCCTTGTGCGCCTTTTCCAGCTGCTCGCGCGTCGCCTCCATCTCCTAGAAAACAAAATAAACACGTAAATTAATTATTTTTATTAATTTTAAAAATCTACCAAAATCAAGGCTTTATATTTTTATTTTCATTCTCTCTCATTGATTATAATTTCTTTGCTTTTGGATGAGTTCTGTGTGGGCAACCTTGTCCATTATATAAGCTCAAGAAAGTTAAAGCAATTGAAGGATACAACGTTTCTTGCACAGTTTCAGTACAACCACTTAAAAACTTTTTAAAAATTAACGTTTAGAAAAGCTCCCAATAAAAAATGTAAATCACCACACATATTGAAAAAATAAAAGTATTAAGGCAAAGCGAATTTGTATCAATTGAGATTTTCCAAATTATAATACATTAAAAATTTAAATTATCTTATAAATACAATTTCCATTAATTATTTCCAATTCATTGAAGTCATATTATAGCAATGAGAAATGCATAAAAGCAGATGTGATTACATTCTAATGTTTTTTAATACATTGAAACGCAAAAAATATAAAATAATTTATTGTAATGATTTCTTTATTACAAGATAATGAACGCAGAATTAATTAGTTTTAAGATTTTTGCTGAATTAATAAACAAATATGTATAAAATTAATGTATACTAAGAAATTTATTTTAAAAAGTCTTTAATTAATAAGTGGAGTCAAAAAATAATATTAGTAAAAAATGTTAATACTATTTTACTCAGGTAACTTAGTTTTGAAAAAGCGGCATCCAATAAGCTTTTCTACACTTTGCTGTGAAATTCACTCCACTCTGATGCACGAAAAGACTTAAACACAAACTACACAAATCACAAGGACGGTCTACATTGAAGTGCAGCGAGCATAATTAATATCGAATGGTCACAGGTGCGAGTGCAGTTCGCTGAGAGGAGGTGGAAATGGAAGTGTATTTAATTGTACATGCGTGCATGCTGATTAAAAGCAGTTACCCTTGAATTTTGAATCTAAATTCGCGGAATGTCACTGGTGACAAAAAATTCATTTCCCCTTGGATTGATGACCAAAAAACAGCACAATTTAAAAACATTACATTTTATCTGTTAATAATTTTCCGCAGTTAAAATCAATTGTAATTTCAAAATGCACGCAAGTGAAACAAATAATTGTTTTCGTTATCAGTTCGAGGAAAATGTGAGGAATAAAATCCAACAACGCCGGCTGCGATGTTTATTAAAGTAAAGAGTAATGAATTATTATAAAGGAAAGCCATAAACACGAGGCGACAGGAAATTACATCAAACAATAAAACTCTTGAGCGAAGGAGGGCGCAGTCTTTGAGTTAATACTCTACTTGTTATTACATAAACAATTCTGCCAATGCATTGTTGTTGCGCTCGGTAGTAAAAATTGCACTATTAAACGCATTATTATTCAAATTAGCCGCATGCACCGGCTCGAAATGTATTATTACTCCGACGTAATAAAATTATTGCAACCTAAAATAATATATCTCATAAAAAAAAGAGTGCAGTCGGCGCGATTAATGCCCCGTGGGTGTGTTTGTGGTGGCGGATAAAAAAGGCAATAAAACAGCAGCCGCGTTTCACGTTTCCCCGCGTGCTTCTCTCGATTTTTTTTCTCTTCATTCTCATTAATTACGTGTGCCTTACTAATAACAAAAAAAGCACGCTGCCTGAATTCTGCGAAGCCAATTCGAGGAGCAGCGAGACGGTCGTGCGAATCGTCAGCCCCGAATTTCCTCTCGTATTTTTATAATTAATCACCTCGGGTGGGACTTTTTATGGGAAATATTTATATAAATTGATTAATGCGAAGCGGGTACAGTTATTATTTGCGTCGTGATCCGCGTTTGTTTGTGCCATGGGAATCCGCGCTTTGGCGGAAATCATGATGAGTGCACACGTCCGCGGCCAACAAACTCGCAGATCGATCGGCTGATTCGCGAATATTGATGCGACCAAATCGTTACTCAGCAATAAATTTGTACAATAATGAACGAGCTTATAAAATAAAATAAAGCCATCCATAAAATCAAATGTACTGCTGAATATATTATAAAATTTATTTTGAACTTTTAGCTGCATCCTATTATGATACATTATTACTTTATAAAAAATTTAAATGAATATTTTCCATATTTTCTGTTCAAACATTTTTTTTAATGATTAATTTATTATTTATATTTTCAGTATTTTGCAGTTGATATTGATAAGGCACATAGAAAAAAGCCCTACATACCACTGCAGTAGCATTTAGTTTATGAAGATATTAAAATATCATTAATCCAATAGGATGGTTGCATTTAATTTACAATTTCTTATTAGTATATTACTTTAAAATTTATAATTCTTTTAAATCACGTATATTATATAAAGCTGTACTAAACTATAATGTGTGGATTTTTATAAATATAAAAAAAAATTGTAATTTTCTACCGCGCACTTTTCTTTGTTCTTCTATCTTTATTTTTGTAAACTGAAAAATTGATCATTTTTTTAATGATGTGCTCAGAATGTTGATATATTAATAAAATTATCTAGATTCTCCAACTGGATTATATAGTTTAACTACAATTAGCTTTTTCTGAAGTTGAACTAATACCCAAACCTAATAATATAATATGCATCTGACAGCCATATTTGTGCTTGGAGAGAAAAAAATTAGACAATTGATGCCAGCTAAAATTGTGAATGTCGCCGAACGGGAGTCGTGTCATAATAAATGTATCATTTATGCTCCGCAGGCTAATTTTCCGCGAGATGAAACAAACGTATATACGCGTTTTTACACACAAATATAATGAGCAGAGCAGCAGTAGCAACAAATGTATAATTGCTTTACAGCACATTATTTTATACGAAATAACCGGCAATGCCTTTAATTTCCTCATTTCGTATTGGCCTGGGGTATCCGCGCGATATAATTTTATACAACTTTAGCAAAAGGCATGCATGCAATCCACTTATTAAAAAATACTACGCTATCCGCCAAGCAGAAGAAGTAAACAGCCGCGCTTCAGAGGAGGGGGAAACCGCGGTCAGACAGACACACAGACACGCAACTCTTTATATCATTTTTATATTGGCGTGCCATCAGCTTGTAATTGTGCCCATTTAGATATCAAAAAATACCAGTAGCACTTTATAATAAAAGATAATCGCTTCCATATAACTTTTGTGTGTGTGTCGAGGCAACACCAGTAGCCGCGGCTTCTTCGTGCAAAAAAAAACTCCAAGTCGAGGGCTCAATTCAGGTAGCAGCTCACTCGTTTTTTCTTCTTTCTTTCAGCCTCTTTTCGCGCGATTGCGTGTCGTGTGTGGCCCCACACTGGCTGCATTAGGCGGTATTTTTCTCTTTAGATATTTATTGATTGGTTTTCCAATCTATTCCGATCATCTCGCGTCGGAGCGACGTAATTGCCTTTCGCATGCCATTCGCGCGGCAATTATGCAAATATTGTCACATTTCTCGGAATCCGACCGAGACGGTGATTATCTGTGGAAATTTTTTATATTTGTTCCCAGATGATATACGTAAAGTTCATGACGGTTGGGGTATTTAAAAATTCGAGTACTGAGCGATTCGTCGGCATCACGAATCTTGGCTGCCGGCGAGAATTATGAAAATCGCTGCGTATTGCATTCAAGAGGCTAAAAGTAAAATATTAATAAAGAGGCTTTTTTAAGGAGGAATTAACCGTTTGAGACCTGCTGCGTCGCACTTAAAAAGTGAGCTTCACGATTGTGACACAGTGTGATAGTGAAACTTTGTAGGAGGACATAAACAGTCCTAGTTTAGTGCAGTGAAAAAATTTGATATAATTTTCTATTTCGTGTAATTAACTTTTTTAAATATTATGTAAATATTGTCCATGTTGAATGGTTGTTTAAATTAACGCTCTAAACCTTAAATATATTAAATATTTTACATGAATATTTCAAGAGAGAAAATAAAAATCTATTCCCATTTGAAAACGGAATAAACTTTATAGTGATAGTTCATGAAGTATCTAGTCATACGCTATGTTTTATTTTTTAAATTTTAAAATTAATGTACATTTTCAATTGCCATATTCTGCCTATCTACAAGATTTCTGCGTTATTCTAAAATTTGCAAATTTTCACCAGTATCATTCAGCATATTTATATAAAATTACAAAAAAATCACTTTAAATTGTAATTTGTTTTAATGATATTATATTAAAGAGTCCTTGCTTTTTTGGCATTAAAAAAAATGCAATTGTTCATCTTACCTGTTGTTTGAGTTTGGCCAGCAGCTCGACTGGCGGAGGCGAAGGGCGGCCCTGCATGCCGTTCATGCCCCTGGGGTGAACACCCTCTTCGCCGCTGATCTCCTCCTCCTCCTCGGGCATCAGTTCGGCGTCGCTCAACTCATTATTGGACTGCAACATAATCAATTGCACGTCAGGCATTCGTCCGTAAAATGTAGAATTAATTTTATTTTCAATCCGGAAAACTAAGAAAGGCTACTTCTGCTTGCGCCCTTTGAAACGAAATAAGGCTGCCACAGAAAAATTGAAAATTTATCAAAATAAACGTGATAGCGACGCATACACTGCATTATCAGTAAGGCCAACATTTAATGACCCCTCTGAATTTCGTGCTATTATTTTATAAGAAGCGGGGGACATACTGATAAAAATTAATATGTTTTTAATTATGTAGGCTTGAGGTGGCGTTCTGGGAAATTGAGGAAAACTCGAAATTGAAGAAAAGGCGCGAGTGGGATGGGCGGTGGAGGAGCAGAGGCGCTTCGGCGTTTTCAATCAATGCGATCATTTGTCAATGTCTCTCCGGCGTTCACTTTGATAAACACACATACAAACGATCCTCGTTCTCTCGCTTCTGTTTCTCATTTCTGCCGGCATTTGAATAATGCTCCCGTTTACCATCATTAATATTATCGGCAAGGCACCGAATTTAATTACATTTTCACCGCAACGTGGGAATTATTGATGATCCGCGCGCTCCTCCGCCTCTCGCTGCTGCCAGCCTAGCGAGGGTAAATTTAGCGTCGAAATGAATGAAAGTGGCGGCGAGAGGAATTCGAGCTGCACGGCGCGGTAATTGATGGCGGAAAAGTGACAAAACAAGCGTACCAAATCGATAAGTTAACTCGTTTAATAAACAGCACTCAACGAGTGAAGACAAGTACGTCCAACACTTGAATTAATCTTTCTTATACAATTAAGTCGGAAAATAAATTGTAAAAATGAAAGGATTCAATACAAAAGGTGTTGGCAATTAAAAAAACTTTCTATAGCATTCTAAGCAATTTTGAGTCTTTTATTTTACTTTCCATTTTGTAGTATTTAAATTTTAGTCAAATATCGACGGTGTTTGAAATATTTCATTTAGAAACTTTCAAGCAAATTACTTTTTTAAACTAAAAATTTTTAAAAGCATGCAAAGTTTTCTTTATAAATCAGTTCTGTCGTAGATTTTAAAAGGTAAATGAAATAACAAAATTACAAATTTTATTTATAAGTTAGAAATAATAATAATAAAAAAAAATGACTAGTAAGAACTGTAGCTGAATATTACAATATTAGAAATGACTTGTTACTTTTTCGACCAAAATTTTATCTCAAAAAGTATAGCTTTGGACAATTTTTTGCTCTTTTTTTTATAAAAATGAACAAATGTTAAAAATTAATTATTTTTAATTACAGTGATACTCAGCTTTATGTCATTTTCCTTGCAATTTTAAATGGGACAATTCTTTCGCAAATTAGATTTTTTAATTTTATAATAAATTCAGCAAAGCTAGAGAGTCCGCTAACAACCCAGGCCGCGTCGCAGTCACTCGCAATTACACATATTTTCGTTTCATCAACGCCCAAAATAAATGCGAATTTCAATTTGCAGTCCCACACGCAAAGCGGCTAACGTCACGAAACAAAACACACCTTAATTCAAGAGCCAGCTAGAGAATCAACGGCCCCATTCTTCAAACCGTTTGACAAGCACACGTGTGTTCGAGTTTGATTGCGTTATTCAGTTTGATTGAATTTGCATATCAAATTGAACCCCCAATAAATATCAGGTGCTCTCGAATGAAGCGCGAGGCGCCATAAAAAAATATAAGGCATGAATGGGCCAGCCGTGCAGCGAAAAGCGTGAGATGCGAAACGAATAATAATCTCCACTGGTCATCCAACTACTTGTAAACAAAAGGGTGTGGTGCCTGATTGTAAAATAAAAATCCATAAAAAATATCAATAATTGTAATTTTGTAAATATGAGAAACATAAATCAATTATGTTATTTATGCACTATTTGATTATTTAATATTCCAAACGCTTAATAATATAAATTAAAAAATAAAGTTTTCTTTTTTCATACCAATCCCTTTACATTCTCAATTTATACTCTCTCACATATAAAATTTCACTTTGAAATGGAAGTTGTTGACGACATGTAGAAAAAAATTAATATTAAATCAATCAAATATTCATATTTTAATTTTCCAGAAAAAAAAATTAATATGAATATTTTTTTTAAAATAAAATCTCAAATTTTCACCCGATAATGTTAAAAATGCAGTTGATTAAAAATTAAAATATTTGCTTATTTATGCTACCCACAGCAGTTAAACATTTCTTGAACGTGGTCTGGGAACAATGGCCGTACAAATGTCCATGTATTTATGTATTTGTGTACGATACCGACTGACAGGCCGTGTAGGACCAGCTATTAGCGTGGACCAGTCAAATAATATCACGAGCGTGATCAGAATCACCTGCAGAGAAGAGCAGGCAGGCGTGTCCGCCGCGTATCACTTCTTCTCTGCTCTCGCAACGAAATTATCCGGTGCCATCAATAACACCTCTCGTCTCACCTCTCGACGAAATCAGCCCGACAATGCAGCGGGAGGCACACAAACATAATGCCGAATAAAAATTTATACACATACATTGTGCTCGGGCTGATCCATCAAAAGACAATATTAGTTTTTGTTTTTACAACGCCAACAAACACCACAGTCATCCTCGGGACCCCCCAGTCGAATCTTATTTTTGCCCGTTTGTTCAATCTGGGGTACATAAACATCCACCCAATGTAATTCACGCGTGTTATTATAATTAAATCATGTACTGCTTATTTATCATTCGTGAATGTAACGTAAGAATATTCTTCCCTCTTTGGTAAATTCAAATGTTTCTCACATTTAAGTTCCCAGAACGGATGCAAATTGTGACAGCTATTAAAAAAATATCCAATTGCTTACAATCTACGAGAAGGTTCATCGAAATGAACCATTCCTCATTGGAGAGTTTTGCGAGGCTTCATTGTATAATCTGCTTGTGTTTATATTTATAGAAAAAATTTAAAAGTTATGAATTGCACTCCCATTCTTGCTCTATTTAATTAAGTGTCAAAATTAATGCCCAAATTAAATTGTAAATTTAAAATAATGCTAGTTGGAAACTATTTTTTCTTAAAATTTAGGATATTTTAACTTTTTATTAAATTATTCTGACAAAATTTACCTCTATTTCAATTTTTAATAAATTAAAGTAAAAATACCCATGTTAGAAAAACGGCTCATCGAGGAATGGCCCAGTTTAAATCCAACAAATTTTCTCACCATACTATTTTTGCATTTTTATTATTCTCTCTATTTCTCGACTGTAAAAGGAATTTTGCACACATACATTTATTCATATATTCAAGCAAACACGTTCGATCAAAATTCACTCACGAAAAATCACCAAAAAGACAATCAATCCGGGTTGTGCGAATAAAATCGTGACTCGGCGTCGTCGCGGCACACAAACATTCAATCGAATTCAAAGTACCAGTGCAATTTCTGAATCTCGTTTTTATTGCCGTGTTTGTTCTCTCGCACGTCATTCCTAATTCTTCTTATTCGGGGTCACGACAAATTTGGCCCATGTAAACCAGGGCCGTCTTAAAACGGTCTCATTGTAACTAAATGAAGTCCAATTAAATAATATTCAATTCAAAAATTCCAAGCTGTACATCTCATTGTCAGACCGGAATAAATTATTCAATTTTCAACATTTGCTGAAAGAAGTTAATTTAGAAGGGTTTTTTCAATTGCATACAATTTAGATGCTTTTAAATGATGTTAAATAAAGATTATTCTCTTTTTTCTAGTACGAAATAAAATAATATGTTATTATTTAAAAATCAGCAAACGAATCTTTTCAAGTGTTTTACTTTGACTTCACTATAAGTTTTAATTTTTCTAAGATTCCTAGTTTAAGCTTCTTAAAAAAATTAGCTTTGCAAACATAGGATCGTTTTTCCTGTTTTGAAATCAAACGTCTCAATCGCTGCTTCCTCTCAAGATCGATTCCCAGACGGTTCCGTGAACCGCGACTTGAAATCCACATGAGATATAAAATCGCAAAGGGGGGTCCGGCCGCGGATCAGACAAGATTTTCGTGTCCTTTTCCTCCTGCTTTATCAGCGATAACCTTTATTAGATAGCGCGTCACCCTCGCTGATGCATGCGCGGCGCTCATGACACTCGATTTGTCATTCCAAATTAAGTGCCGGGATAAATCAATAACACGACTAGGCGGCGGAATAACATGCACGACGAGGGCGAGCGAAGAATGCGCCCGGGGAATTTGATTATGTAAATAACACGGCGGCGGCCAACTTGTTGCCGCACCAACAATTTATACACACAGAAAAATTTTCACTAGGTTCTAGTTGTATTTACTAGAATAATCTTGTTAAAAGTGCCTCAGGTCCTGAGGTTAGTTATTTTTACAAGGTATGGGCTAGTAAAATGATTTTTACTAGGTTACCTTGTTAAATTCACTAGGCATTTAAAAGCTGGATTTGTACTCCATTTACCTTGTACTTTCAACTGACCATACCTTGTTAAATTTACTAGACAAAAACGGAGCTGGCTTTTACTAGGTAGGTTTGTTGGATTTACTTTCCTCCGTTTGTTACTTTTTACTAGGTTTCATTTGTTGCTTTTACTATTTTTGATCAGTATTTTTTACAAGTTGGGAATGTTCTTGGTACAGAGTAAAATAAGTTGTATTTTGTACATTAAATTTTTATTTATTGCAGTTTGTCACATAAAATAAAATACAAAATAATTTTTAGCAATTTACACATACATGTAAAAAAATCATTCAACGCTCAAAAAATTTAAGATATTTTAGTAAAGCATTTATGTGATTTGAGTGTTGAATGGTAGAAAAAAACTAACAAAAAACAAAAGTTGTAAGAAGGGTTCTTGTACTTATCAAAATAGTTGCACTTGCGTCTTGCGTGGGAGGATTCAGATGTCCAGAGTCTAGGTGGTGTCCAGTCTACGCGATTAAATGCTGTCAAAGGTCAATCTCTTCTGACGGCTAGGGTATTGCCCTGGTGGTCACGTTTTTGGTGT